ATTTTATTTTTATCAAATATTTTAATTTTATTTTTATCAAATATTTTTATTTTTATTTTAACAAATATTTGTTTTTGTTTATCAAATACATTTTTTATAATTTTTTTATTAAAATTTCTTTTTTTTTTTTTTTACCAAATTTTTTTTTTACTTATAAAATATTTTTATTTGTTTTTAAATATTTTTAACATTTTTTATAAAATGTTTTATTTTATCAAATATTTGTTATTATTTATCATATAAAAATGTTCAAAATGTATTTCATGCAACCATCAAAATCATCAACACATTTCAACATTCATCTCTTCACCGCTCATTTCTACACCATGCAAAACTATCATTCACCAACCGATCAACGCGTCGTCAAATGAAATATCCCCAATCCTCTCCGCTCCCATCCACAAAACGTTCCGATCGATGCACACGTGCAGTCCCACTGACAGCAGCGCCAACTCTCAATGTAATATGCCCAATTGCAGCAGTCGCTCCAAGCAGCCCCTAAATGCCTGGCACTCGAATATCGACGACTCGAAATGCTCATATACGGGTTTGTATCCGCGCGCCTGGACCGACTATGATCTGACTGCGTACGGCGTGCGACTGATTTGTCGTCAAATTTCGCCCGTCATACCGCACGACTACAAAGACTCATGCCTACCTTGCGCCGTCTTCGTGTGGTCTGTGGAGAATGTTTGCGCGGAGGAGCGTAAAGTCTCCATAACGTTCACTTTTAAGAATGGCACTGGTACGAAGAAGCAGGACGCCGAGGGCGGCGCTGAGGCGACACTCATCACAGAGGGCAATGTGAAGGGTGTCGGCATACGACAGAAAATCGCTGGCATGCCATGCACCTACAATTTGGGTTGTCGTGTTTTGCCCGAAATCAGTATTACACGCTGCACGCAGTTCGATCCGTACGGCACGGGAGAGCAACTATGGTCCGAGCTGAAGGAGAACGGACAGTTGAGTGAGAAGCATTGCGATGAAGTGTTGAAAAGTGAGTATACTATTGTAAAAGTAATGTTTAAGAGATGAGCGAGAAAAGATAAGAATACTTCTTTAAGAGATTTTTGAATAGATTTTTCAAATAATTTTATAATTTAGTATAGGGAGAGCTTTAAATGTTGAGCCTAAAGGAATGCTAGACAATAAATTTCAAGTTCTTGGGAGTCTATATTTGTTTCTACAGCAAGCAAAATTGAAGATATTAACAAGCTGTTAAAGTTGACAGTAGACTTTAATGAAAGTTTATCAAAAAATTAATGGCAACCCTATAACATTGAATATATTTCACAATAAACCACATTCGTTAAATTTTAAATCATTTTCATATTGCTTACTAAACCACAATCGCTGAAGTCGTATTCTTAAAAGCTATTTAACATATTTTTAGGCGCATAACAACACTTATTAATATATTACAACTAACTGTTCTAAGCCAACTATGCGTATTTTAAATATTTCAAACATTAAGTAAAAGTTTATATTTTTCCACTTCACACCACGCCAGCTAAGGATCTCGGTGTCGCTTTATGCGCACAGGTTGCTGTCAAACCAAATTGTAGTCATGATTTAGAATTCGTATTAGCCTGGGATATGCCACATATACATTTCCCGAAGAAACTCAAATCTTATACACGTTACTACACCAAATATTTCGATGCGTCCGGTGAGGCTGGTCCAAGGATATGCGAGTATGCATTGAAGCACTATGGCAGTTGGGAGAAATTGATTGATGCCTGGCAGCGTCCCATACTCAACGATGAGTGAGTTGCTAAAAATTACAAAAATTTATAAATATTCTTAATATAAACAAAAAACAAAATGCAATTTAGTGGCCTACCCGATTGGTATAAGAGCGCGATCTTCAATCAGCTCTACTTCATTTCGGATGGCGGCACAATTTGGTTGACTTGTAATTCCTCGTTTGGCAAGGAGTTGAACTATGATGATCCCAGGTTGGTAGAAGAAATTTTTGGAATTTATAAATATTAAAAATAGTTTAGCATTTTAGTTGAAATTTTTAGACAAAAGATTAAATTATAATTTGATGTGACAATTTTTATACGAAGCGATTCTACGATTTTCTATTGATTGTGTTTCACTGCATTTATTAATTATACTCTTAAAAAATATATACTTTTGTTAACTTGGTTAAATTTTTTTTTTTTTTTTTTGTGATATGCAGAAAATTTTATAATTTTAAGTATTTTTTAACTTATTTTTCCTAATTTTGTAATTTTACCCATGTATTCAGTTATACTTTTAATGAACTTAATTTTTTTGTTTTTTGTTATCAATTCTTATTTATTTATTTTTTTTTTTTTTTATGAAATTCAGAATAGTTAGTGATTATATATGTATGTATATTTTTTTTTTAATTCATATACAAGTTTTTAAGTTTATTTTTAACTTATTTTCTTTCGTTCAAAGTTTTATTTTTTTCTTTATTTTAATTTATTTTATTTATATTAATTTATACTTTCAAATAAATATATATTTTTTTTCATTCTAATTTATAGTTTTAATTTTTTTATAAAATTCATTGAAAGTGTATAATGTATTTATTTTTTATTTTTATCAATACATATAAATATTAATTTTTTAAAATATGTATATTTTTAAATTATTTTATTTTTTTCGTAATTTTTAATTTCAATTTTTTCTTTCCTTAATTTTAAATTATTTTATTTTTATTAAATTTTGCTTTTAAATTATTTTTCATTTATTTTTTTAATATCCATTTTGCATATTTTTTATTTGTTGCCAAATAATATATGTATATAATATAATATAAAATATATTATAATTAATTTTTATAATATAAAATAATTTTTATGATATAAAATAACTTTTATATTATCAATTCTAATTTATTTGTTTTTAACCTTTGTAGATTAGCTTACGGTCGCTTTGGTTACTTGGAGGGTCACGAGTATCGCATGTACAATACCTACGACGTACATTTCTATGCCTCACCGGCGCTCGCGCACCTCTGGCCCAATCTGCAGGTGAGTTTTAAGTTTCATTTTTGCTTTCTTCTGCTTTATAGCGTCTACTTTACGTTTCCCAGGTTAGTCTACAGTATGACATACGAGATGCCATTGATGTGGATTTGCCCGATACGCGTAAAATGCTTTACGATGGTAAGGTGCTGCCGCGTCACATTAAGAATTGTGTGCCACATGATCTCGGCGATCCCGATGAGGAGCCATTCACGCTCATCAATTGCTACAATATACACGATGTGAATCATTGGAAGGATTTGAATACGAAATTCGTGCTGCAAGTCTATCGGGACTACTATGTGTTGAATGAGTTAGCGCAGGCGCAAGCGGATAATGCGAGTAAATTCAGTTCGATTGAGTTTATCGATAAGGACAGTTTATATGAAATGTATACGCAAGATAATAAGCGTAAGAACTCGGCGGATGAGAAGCAGCGTGAGTGAAATATTCAAATATTTTTTACATTTTTATATTTATTTTAAATATATTTTTATTTTTTTGAAATTATTTTTATTAATTTTTTTATTTTGCATATTTTTTTACATTTAAAATGCAGGATGACAAGTAGCGTGAGGGAAATATTCAAATATTTTTGACATTTTTATATTTATTTTAAATTTTTTTTAAATTTATATTTTTTTTAAATTTATTTTTATTAATTTTTTTTTAAATATTATTATTTATTTTTTTATTTTAATTTACATATTTTAATTTTTTTAATTTGCATATTATTTTACATTTAAAAAGCAGGATGAGAAGTAGCGTGATTGAAATATTTAAATATTTTTGACATTTATATATCTATTTTTAATTTTTTTTTTATTTTTTATAATTTTTTTTAAATTTAAAATGCAGGATGGGAAGTAGCGTGAGTGAAATATTTAAATATTTTTGACATTTTTTATATTTATTTTCAATTCTTATTTTTAAATATATTTTTATTAATTTTGGGAAAAATTCTTTTTTTTACAATTAAAATGCAGGATAAGAAGTAGCGTGAGTGAAATATTTTTGACATTTTTAATATCAATTTTTTTTTTTAATTATTTTTAAATATTTTTTGGAAATATATTTTTAAAAATGTTTTTTTTTTAATTGTTTTAATTTACATACTTTTTTTTAATTTGCATATTTTTTTATATTTAAAAAAAATTTGCTGTTTTTTATTTTATATAATATTGTTTAATAATTTTTATTTATATTTTTTTAATAATATTTTCCTCAGTCTTTCACCTTTTTGCGTCGAATATAATATACACGTATTGATATCTAATTCCGTAGGTTTTATCACTAAATATTCTTTCCATTCACAGAAAATCGCAAATCGGCTTCTTTATACATCAATGAAACTAACGGTAAAGTCTATCTAATGGACGCCATGGCTTACTTGAAGGCAATGTATCCCGCATCCAAAGCGATCATGGAGCGCACCATCGAATATGACAAAGACAATGATGGATTAATTGAGAATACGAAAATGCCCGATCAAACATACGACACCTGGGTTATGGATGGACCCAGGTAATTAACAAATCTTACATCTATTTTTATTTTAACAATTTTCTATAAATTTACATATTATTTAACATACCGTTGTTCTTTAAAGCGCTTATTGCGCTGGCTTGTGGCTGGCGGCCTTGCAAACTATGTCCGTAATGGCCACGCTGTTGGATCAGCCGAACGACTGCTTGCGCTATCAGGACATTTTAGAGCGTGGCAAGCACTCTTTGGAGGAGAAACTATGGAATGGCAGCTATTATCGTTTCGATATGCATCACAAGGACACAGTAATGGCCGATCAGCTGTGTGGACATTGGTATCTGAAAACATGCGGTTTCGATTACGAGGTGCGCTTAACAATATTGAACTTACACTCACCATTCTTAATAATTCTTGCTTTTCTTGTTTATCTTGCTTTTTTTTCAATGACACAGATTTATCCAAAGGAGAATGTACGCAAGGCCTTAAAGCAAGTCTACCAACACAATGTTATGGGTTTCAATGGTGGCAATATGGGCGCTGTTAACGGTTTCATTGTTAATGCGGATCCAGAAAAGCCGGGACACGTGGACTATACGACCCTACAGAGTGAAGAAGTGTGGCCCGGTGTAACTTTCGCTTTAGCCGCCACCATGATACAGGAGGTAAGTTATGCTAAACACATACTTATATATTTGTATGTATGTGTGCAAATTGACTGAAGGTCAGGAGGGATAGAACTCATTTAGGTGACATGGAAAAATAATTAACTATGGGCTACTCATTTACTAGTATTTTATGTACATTTAGGTATAGTAGGGTATTTGGTGCGGTTTTTGACTTGTTTCGGTTAGTTTGTGAGATTATAACTCGTTTTCCAATAACAGTTAGGTTATGTAAGATTAATCAATAAGCATTTGAGCAGACAGCACCCTGAGTGAATACAACAATATTCGGTGTTTTCACGAAAAACGAGTTGATGTAAGCGGATTTTTATCCCGCTAGGGACTACTTACTCGGCAGAATTCCCCAAATTATTTCAGGCATGTTTTCTGTTGCTACAACAACAACAATCGAATTTGAGGACTTGCCACACTTAAAAGGTCTAGTCAAGAAATCGATACTGAGGAAAATAAATGCGAAGAATCATAATTTCCCAAGCAAACTTACTATTTTATGAATTTAAAAATGCAATAAAATAAATTAAAAATAAAAAAAAAGTTATTTTTTAAGCATCCACAAGCACTTTAACAACACACAAGTCAAACGCTGTGCACAAAAAATATTTATGTCAGGCATATGACATAAAATAACAGTAAATGAGGGGATGTCATTACTTTTTCTATTGCCTAAAAGGGTTCTGTTTCTTCTGACAATCTGAAGGGGGGAGAAGCGATGTTGGTTTTTTCAATGTGTACATTTTGCCAAACAACCTGGCCCTCTCTCACTACAGTGGTCGCGCACAAAAATGCATACGATACTTCAAAAATGCGAAAAGAGTAGTTTTCATGTATTTTACTTGATTTACACGAAAGTACAGGTTTATTTAAATAAATATATTTTGATATTTGGTAAAAAAAAAAAACAGAAATATTTGTGGTTTTTATAGATTAATACGATACTTTCGTTTATTTTATTTTATATTCTAAATAAAAACTTTCTTAAATAAAATAATTGAACAGTGTTTTAATTTTTCTTTAAATTTGGTTGTGGTGTTTGTTTATATTATATACAAATTTTAATTGGGAAACTATTCAAAAGTGTGAAAAATGCGAATTTTCAGAGTTATTTAAAAGAAAGTCTGGACATGGTTTGCAACTCAGCTATACTCTTTTTAAAACTAGAATATTTGAAAACGTTTTATGCTGATAAAATTAAAACAATGTCACTAAAGAGAAGTTTATAGGATATTCTACAATGTCAAAAGCGCGAGCCACTCTTTTCGTATTACGAAATATGTTGCTAAATGTTTTTGAAATATGAACAGACTTTTCACACTATAGTTTGATAGAAAAATTTTAAACCTCAATTACATATTTTCCAAAGGAAGAATTTGGTAGTAATTGAGATAAACGGCTTGAAAGAATTGAAAAATAGTCAAATAAATAGTATAGTAACTAAACGGTTGGACTCGATTCGGAAAATAACAAAGTTATAAAAACAAGAAAGATCAATAACTTCGGTTGCATCGAGGCAATAATATCCTTCAGAAATATACAAGATTCTACACATGAACTTGATTTTTTTCAATCAGTTTGTATGGCAGCTATATGCTATAGTATCTCTGATCTAAATAATTTCTTCGTAGATTGTACCGATGCCTCGACCAATAATCCATGCCAAATTTCGTGCAGATATTATTTCAAACACAAAAGTTTTGAATACAAGAACTTTATTTTGAACGATCAGTTTTATGACAGATATATATGCTATAGTGGTCCAATCTGAACAATTTGTTCCAAGATTGTACCCGTTGCTTTGAGCAGTAATTCGTGCCAAATTTTATAAAGATATAATGTCAATTAAATAATTTTTCCATACAAGCACTTGCTTTTGACCGTTCAGTTTGCATGGCAGCTATATGCTATAGTGGTTCGATATTGGCGAATCCGACAAATTACCAGCTTCTTAAGGAAAAAAGGTCATGTGCAAAATTTCAGTTCGATATCTCAAAAACTGAAAAACTGAGCTACAGTTATACGTATATACAAACAGACGGACATGGCTAAAACGACTCAGCACTTCGTGCTAATATATTATATTTTATAGGGTCTCCGAAGTTTCCTTCTAGTTGGCAAACTTAATATACGCTATGCAGAGTATAAATATTCCAACAGCGGTCGGTCGAGAATTAATTCAAAAATGTACAAATCAAATCAAATTAAATGATCACTTAAAAAATGTTTGAAAATCCACAAATATTTTGTTTTTGAATTAATTACCAAAAAAAAAATATAGGAAAGTTATATACTTTTGGTAAAATCAAGAATAAACATGAAAACTCATTTTTCGGAATTTTGAAGTTTTATATCTATTTTTGTGTGTGACATGCAAATATGGCTAAAACTTAAATGTTATAGGTAATAAATATTAGGTATGAAAGTAAAATAATAGTAATAATAAAAAATAAAATTTAACACGCTTATTTTAATAGATAGCGGTATTTGGTTATAGTTTTAGAACTAAAAAAAAAATTACGTATTTAATTCATTTGTGCTGCTTAACAGACACAAAATATTTCTTGTAAAAGCTTGCAAAAGTGACTCGTTTGGTACCCAGAACAACAACATGTACTGTGTCTCAGCCAGAAATTTAGCTCAACAGTTTAATGAGAGTAAGAGTAAGTAAGTACTAAGTGCAGGGTTGCAAATAATCAAATAATGCAACCAAATATGTGAACTAACGTTTAAATTCATTTTTTTTTTTTTGGACTCGAGAAAATCTTAATTAAAATTTTTTTGTAATCCTAATTACCGTATTGTAAAATAAAAAAATATCTTTTTTATTAAAATTAATTTTAAAAATTAGGAAAATCTTTTTAAACCCAATTACAGGTTTGATAAATTTAAAAAATATTATTCTCAAGATTATAAAATTTTTTAAATAAAAAAATAATTGTTTTTGAATTGCGCTTGCGTACTTCATGTACTACTATTTTGAGCTCAAGCTCGCTTAGAGCCATCATTTTCAAAATTCAACACTCAAAGGATTTATATTTTATCACTTTTTAATTCCGAGTTTGAAAAATAAAAATTTAATTTTCATTAAATTAATTTTTATAAAAAAATCGCAAGCTGAACTGTGCTAACAAAAAATTAAAAATTTAAAAAAAAAAAATTTTATATTCTAACTTTCAAATTTATAGCAAAAAAGTTGTTTTAAAAATATGTATGTGCAGAAATCTGCTTAAGTTTTTGAATTGAAACCCTAAATATGCTTTATCAAATTACTTTATATTTTTCTAAACCAAACTTATTCTTATACTCTTCTCATTTACAGGGCATGTTTGAGGAGGGCTTCCAAACTGCTGGCGGCCTCTATAAGACACTCAGTGAGCGTATAGGCATGAATTTCGAGACGCCCGAGGCATTATACACCGAAAAGCATTACCGTTCGATCGGTTATATGCGACCGCTAAGCATTTGGTCCATGCAAGTTGCCTGGGAGCGACGAAAAGCGCTGCGTGATTAAGCAAATTGACGAAAGATTTACAGTAATGCAAGCGCAGATGAAGCAAATATTTAACTGTATTTTTTTATACTCTCGCTACATGTAGCAAACTCTCTGCTTTTTTAATTTGAAAATATGTATGTATTTATATGTGAAGAACAGTTATACATATATACATATATAGTATACCATATTATAATACTCTCTGCAAGACGTTGCATTGAGTGCGCAAGAAAATTAAAGTTTTGCCGCAGAAATTTCAATTAATAATTAATTAATTAATGAAATTTAGCTATGAAGGAAAAGTACAAGTTGTTAAGCTTAATATAAGATGTTTTCATAGAAGTGAGAGCATACATTTTTGACACAATTTTTTTTATTTATTAGAAAGAGAACACAAACTGTATTTATTAATAGCATTGGCTAAGACACGCTTAAAGTACCAAAAATTATAAAGGGAAGTGTTGGTGAGACAAAAGAAACTTTTTATTTTTAATGTAAAAACAACGAGCACAAGGCTTGATATTTATATACAAATATTTGAAAATAACAAATGGTGCCAGTTTCATTTGCGATGCGAAAGTACAAAATGCGCCGATAAACGAAGATGAAGCAAATTGTGAAAATTTTTGCATTTGTTGAAAATGAGCTTACGATTTTTAGCGATAATATTTGTCTGCATTATATGCAATATGTGTATATGCATGTGTTGTCAATGTCACAAAATTCAGAAGAGAAGAGCAAAGCGGCGTAATTAAGTATGGAAATTGTTTTATTTACCACTTTGAGCAAAAATAAATGTATATTATTGTAATTTGTTAAAAACAAAAATTTTATGTAATAGACAGGCTGAAAAATATCGTATCGTTTCTAAGAGAGATAATAAAAAACACTGTCGAAGTAACGAAATATTATTTTTTGATTAAAAAAAATATGCTAATTCTAAAATGTATCACAACAATGAGTGTTGTCCAGCCGCTGCGATCGGCTACGCTAACATTGTTTATCAAATTCCGTATAGACTTAATAATCTCGAAATACAATGAATACAGCAGACGACCAAAAGAGCCAGTCACCTCGAATACATCAGAAAATGATTTTGGATGATCGAAAAATGAAATTGGTCGAGTTAGCTGACACACTAAAAATAGCCAATGTTAGACATATTTTCTGAACTGGCCGTAGTGATTTTGCTGTTCGTAGAATTGAAGAGAATGCTCGCTGGAAGTGCAGAGGCATGAAAAGAGACATTTAGAGACACTAAGAGCTAATCAACTAAGTTGCGGTCTATTTTAAAGCAAAAGATAAATCATACTACAAAAATGAAGAACCTGTTAAATTGCTATAATCGATATTGAATAATAATAATAAAATTTGCCAAAAAAAAATTTTTTTAAGGCGATTCGATATTTTCAGCCCGTTTTTTAGAACTGTCAGTTATAAGTTTTGGAAAATGAAAATTTTAGACAAAGCGAAAAGGTGTGGTTTTGCAAAGGTTTGTTAAAATTTGTTGTCCTTTTGTTAGTTAGCAAAAAACATAAACAATTTGATTAAATTAAAAAAATGCATGTTCAAAATCTATATTTTTTCGTTAATTGTGGATAAAAATAGTGCAAAAGCATGCTAAAACTATTTCTAATTTCAATAATATTCGAAATTCGAACAATAATTTTTTATTTATAAGCAGGGTTGTAAATTTTTAAATTAAAAAATTGTTAGTAAAAAATTTTATTTTCCATTTTTGATTAAAAATTAAAAAATTCAAAATGGTAGAACACGAAGTATGCAATTTTTTTTATTTTCACTTATTAACTTGAGATTAACATGTTTTTCAATCCGGTGGTTGGGATTATCAATTTGAAATTATGAATTATTTTTAATTGAGATTTTCTGAATTACAAAATAAAAAAAATGTTTACAAATGTTAATTCAATTATTTTTGAATGCATTATTTACAACCCTGTTTATAGACAACGTTTTTAATTTATTTATTTTAAATGAGCCGTTAATATTTAAAAATATATAGGAGATTTAATTTTAAATTTAAGTTTCTAAATAAAAAAATTTATATTCTAAACAAACAAAATTAATTTTAATTCTCAAAAAAAAATTTAAATTAATCTAAAAAATATACACTACATATAATTTTAATTACCTAAAATAAAATAATTTAATTATCTAAAATAAAATAATTTTAGTTTTCTAAAACAACAATAATTTTAATTTTCTAAAAAAAAAATTTTAGTAAAAAAATAAATTTTAATAAAAGTGCTGTCCTACCTTATTATTTTTATTTAAAGTAAATTTAATAAAATTTCTGTCCTACAATATTCATTAACTTTTTAGAAATAATTTACTATAAAAAATAATGTGACCACAATGGCGCTATAGTTTTTAATAACTGAATAACAGATATAGTTTTAAAGTCAATTTTTTAAGTCCATATTTAAAAAAAATTTTAAAAAAATATAAAACGCAAACACAAATATTAGTTCCTGGCTTCTCAATTGTTTCTGCCACAAATGATTAATTAGTTATTATTTCGTTTAAAAATACTATTTTATACATAAATAAAAACTAGTATAAATAATTTTATATATTATTTTCAGCTTGAGAGCAAAGCAAGGCACAAAAAGTATAATATTTTGCTAAAAGTGAAAAGTATTTCTGAAAATCTACTATATATCTATATATACTGATATTGCACATAAGCGGGAAGAAGAGAAATTATATATGTATATACTGTGTTGCCTTTATTTAAAACGCCACAATCCTCCCAAGTGAGGTTATGTGCGTAAGCGTTAAAGCTTGTCTAATAAAGCCTACAGTGGTTTTGAACCAAAGTTAATGTCAGTGAAATATTTAATGACACAGAAATCTCCAATGTAAGCAGAAGTTATTTACAACAATTGAAATATACACTATATGAAATATGAACTATTTTTGACAAATTGTAACAAAACAGTTATTTGTGTATTAATCGATGTATTAACCAAATTGCATATTCTAATGTTAAATAAAAATAAAAAATAGAAAATTATTGAAATTTGTGTATTTTTTATTTTAAATAAAATTTCAATAAAGAAATTCGAGGTGGTTGAATGAAGAGTTAAAATGAAATCAAAATTTTTAGTAACCGCTCAAATTTTATATTTAGATATGTAAGTACATAAACATGCTACTGCACCGTTATTTATGCATCTGTAATACACAAATACAAAGCTAGCAATAAAACGCATCTCTGCACTTGCTTCGACAGGTAAAAACGCATTTAACGACTAGGAATTATTTTGCATTAAATACCACACCTCTCGCTCATTATTAATATTAATCTTCGGATCTGACAAAAAACTCATTCCAGCCAGAGTGTCGAGTGTTGGTTGACTGGCGGAGTGCTTTGTTTGTGTTTGTGTGTTTGCTTTTGTCATTAATATTTGCGCAAACACTTCGAGTGAGCAAGGAAAGGATGAAAAATCGTTACCAAATCTTGTTGTTTTTGTTGTCTAGAGACTCAGTGAACAGCATATGATGCATTAATGGATTGCATTTTTTGCAGGGTAGTAACAATGGAAATTAATATTTCAACAGATTTTTGTGCATGCGACCGCACGTTTCGAACGAGCAGAACAGATGCTGATTATTACTTAGAGTAAGCAAGGCTTTCAGACACTTCTACAAATACATGTATGTTACATGCATGTATATAGCCAAAAATCCTGAATTATATAATAGGTATCAAACGAATGAAATTTGAAAAGCTTAAACAAAAAATATGTTAAACTATAAAATAAATATATAAGAAATACAAATACATATTTTTGAATAAAATTATCCCACAAGCCATATGAACAAGCTTTTATGTGCGAAATATCTTATTAACGATCTTAAAAGAACTAATGGCGATGTCTTGTCAAATAAAATAGTTTTCCATACAGGAACTTGATTTTGATGATTCAGTTTGTATGGCAGCTATATGCTTTAGTCGTCCGATCTGAACAATTTGTTCGAAAATTGTAGCGCCTCTTTGGACAATAACCTATGCGAAATTTAGTGACGATATCTTTTCAAATAAAATAGTTTTCCATACAAGAACTTGATTTTTATCGTTCTGTTTGTATGGCAGCTATATGCTATAGTCGTCCGATCTGAACAATTTGTTCGGAAACTGTAGCGTTGTCTTGGACAAAATTTAATGAAGATATCTTCTTAAATAAGAATGTTTCCCATACAAGAACTTGATTTCGATCGTTCAGTTTGTATGGCAGCTACATATATTTTATAGTAGTCCGATATCGGCGATTCCGAAAAATGAGCAGCTTATTGGACAGAAAAGAGCGTGTCCAAATTTTCAGATCGATATCTCAAAAGCTGAGAAACTAGTTCACGTATATCAGAACGACGGACATGGCTTAATCGACTGGACCGCCTTTTCCTTCTGAGTGTTACAAACTTGGTGGTAAACTTAATATACCTTGTTCAGGGTATAAAAAATTTTAGAAACAAAATACCGACGCGAATAATTTGTTACAACTGTTTCACGATTTTCAATGCCAAACTAATTTATTTGCTTTTGTTGAATAATTGTTCTTGTACTGTCACTAACACCTTATATGATTTAACTAAAATATCATACGGGTAATAAAACCACCTCTTTGTTTCCAAAAATTATAATATATTTTCAAAACTTACACAGTAAAACATCAATCAAAAATACAATACTTATAAACTATGTTTGTGTCTCATTTGTTTGATTTTTTTCCTTGTATTTTTTCATTTTTAAATCCGTTTGCAGCCAGGATTTTACAAATTTTTCGTATTCACGTTTGCTGCGACACACAATAACTAAGCTTGTGGGACGACAACCGTACGATTTAAGCTCTTCTATACGTTGCTTAGTTGTTTCTAAGCCGTGACATAGAATTCGTGGTACATTAGCGATTTCATGGCGCGTAAACCCAGCTTCGTTCAGCAAATAGTCCAGTACTTCTTTTATCTGCAAAATAAAATAGATCATATACTGAATATTTATTAATTATTGATTGGTTACCTTTGTTACGCGCACACGCATAACAGCTGAATGTCTTTCCATTATACATCTTGTAGTATCGAAATCGAATTCCAAACGTTCCGCTACATATTCCACTACATTTTTTTTGTCACCTAACACAGCTAATTCGTCCAAAGTAAGCTTAAATGATCTGTTACTCATTCGAATCGTGACGCATATTAATTTCAACCGAACGGAACACGTTTTAAGCATAAAAGTACCGTTAATATTTAATAGTTCACACTTACCTTTGCAATATAGGTTCTGGACAACGTACCATCCATGGCATAATTTTATCCTTCTTAGCACGTTTTGCACGTTCCAAGCGCAATTCCACAGATTTTGGCGTATATCGAAAAGCCCAAAGATCTCTTAAAATATTTATTGGTGACACATTGTAGTTTATCATATGCTGCAGATTCTGCTCTAACATCTCAAAAGGCATTTCCAAGATAAACAAACGTTTTGATGAATACTTCGTGACTAGCTTTGGATCTGTTTTTAGTAGTTCGCTGATGTAATAGACACGATTTCCTTGTGGTATAACTTTGGACTCCCAATTCATAATGGATACCAGCTTACGTAGACGCGGTAAAGTCAAACGCAGAAAGGGCACAAAGTGGTTAATATCACGTACCGGAAGAGTGTGTATAAGATTTAATTTTTCTTGCAAACGCACTAAGAAGAAATTTCACTAAGCATTCTTCAAAAATAAACCTATAACTTTTGTATGTGCATACCTTTGTCTAGCGTTAATATCCATGGATAGCTTAAGAAGCTTTCTTTAGTTACACCTTCCAGACAAAGCAACTCTAATGAGCGCACGAGGGAACGTTTATGGAAAGTTTTTTTGACCACTTCATCTCTCATAATATGATCGACGTCTTTATCAGAAAGCCGGTAGCGCGTACGTAGAGCTTCAACAAGAACATGGCGTAGCGGTTTTTCGTGCTCTATGCAATATTGTACAATATATTCGCTTTCATTTTCACGCGAATCCACCTGACTTGCGGCAGGGGTAAATGACGAATCGGTAGGGTTTGTTTTTTCTACAGAAGATTCCCAGTTGTCATGAAGGCGCGTAACACTACTCAACGATACATGATTAGCGGGGTATATTCCGAATTTACGACAAACACAGGGAAATGAAGTGTTAGTAATATACGTAGATCTCGGTGTTTGAAGCACTAAAATACGATGAAAATTTCTCAGCACTTGGCTGAACATATTTTTGAGTTTCACAAGCTTTTATATCACTTAAAAAATATAATCACTTAGAGAATAACGTTTCTTTCCAAAGGAATTTAACACAGCTGTAAAGTCAGCTGTGAAATCATGGCATTGCCAACTACTTTTGTGACGAAGCCAGACGATTTTTTAATTATCGAATTTTATTAATTATATGCCAAAATAAGAGATAAAATTGTTATCATAATAAAATAAATTTTTCTGAACTGTATTATCGCCGTTATTAACTACTATAAATTGTTTAATTATAATCCAACATTGCAGGAATTTGATTTTGTGCCTCTGCTAGGTATTCGATTAAAAAGTATAAAAATATCGATAGTATGGAGTACAGCTATTAATTTGAGTTTTGATTCAAATCAAATCGCATGTGATTTTTGTTTTTGTTTTAGTGTACAGCTGCTTAACTGTTCCATTTAACTATAATTGCGTTTTTCAACAAAAATAACACCTTTCTGGAAAATCACTTAAAACTAATTAATATTTTTTTATTATTATTATTATTTAATTGATAACATATGCTAAAATGTCTTATGACATGTGTTCCAACCGCTGCTGCAATGTTTGTCTTCTAATCGAATTGGACAAACAAGTTAGGGGAGCCTTGCCTTCGAAGAAACCATTGACAACAAGGTTACAGAAATGCAGCGGCTGCCAACTGGTACTATATTGTAGTCAACAACATCAACGTCTCGATTGGCCACTGCACCGTGAATTCTGCCGTTGCATTAGGAAAATTATGAATACCTATAAAATAAAGCACCCGTTCCTACTAAGTGGCCAACCTCACAATATATTTACCATGGAACGAGCTATACTACAAGTGAAATATTTACTGAAGACAATGCTGAAACGAAAGTTGGAATTCCATGAAGAAGAACTAACTTCTTTCCCAGCACATTGTGAAGTTTGTTACAGTTTTGAAGGATTGCGTAGTTGTACTCGCTGTTTTGGTACTTCCTATTGTTCCTCCCAACATGGCGCTGAGGATCGTGAACGTCATAAAAAACGTTGTAATCAACTTCAAATATATTACTGCCCATATAAAGTGCAAGCACGGATTTATCCCGACACACTGTTGGGAGAATTGAGTAAACGTGTGCCTGATATATTGAAAACCGATATAACTGGCGCAATTGAATGTGTATTTTCAAAAAAGCTGCCGGCAAAGCCGACTACATCAATGGAAAACTACCAAACGTTCTCTGCTGTGGGGGACTTTAGTTGTATTGGCACCATTTTGTTCGCACTCGAATTCATTGATGTGGATACAAATAATGCCAAAAAATTTGTAATTTTCATCTTGGGCGCTACAGTGGAACAAGACTTTTGGTTTCTTCAAATACATACAAAGTGGTTTTTCCTACAATATCCAAACTTTACCAGATTAGAACTGTTTTTTATTGGTCCTGATGTTTTGGGCGCCGCTAAACGCGAATGCACTTTTCATTATAAGGTCAGTACAGTTTTTTATTTACTATTTTACAATTCAATTAAATATTTAATACTGATATAATCAATTTCGAACATATTCCTACAGGGTGCTGACCGCACTGTGTTATATCTGAGCTATCGCATGCTTTATCAAGATTTTGCCAAAACGAAATCTACAAAACCTTCAATATTTTGTATCTTCAATTGTGGTTTCTCTGAGCATGCTCCAGAGACCATTGAAGAACAAAAAGAGCAAAGCCTCCTAGGTGTTCCAGGTGATTCCTGTGCAAGCAAGGATACATGGTCCAGTGGTATTTTACAATTGATAAAAAGCCATAATTTACCAATCATATTTACCTCATTAACACGCGTGGAAGCGGATTTGGATTTTGGCGCTGTGCAACGTATAGCTTTAACGAATGGCATAGAGACGCGTATAGAACGGATATTTGATGTGCAGGTGAATCCTTATCGCGATATCCGTCCATTACGTAACTGGCAGCGCGAAAATGATGATGACATATTCTATCGAAATGGATATATTCAAGGGTTTACAGCGCATCCCATGAAGTAGAAGTCTGCTGCAGCTGATATGCATTAAGTATACATAACACATGCGATTTTGTATGAATTTTATTTTACCTAAACACTATGCCTGTATTGCATTTATAATATTTACTATGTTAAGCATGCATAAATATATATTAGCTGTTAAGTAATTATAATAAAAGACTGCGAATTTAATTATACATTAAGCACATAGTAGTAATATATATACGAACTACCAGATGTTAGATTTGTGACGATTCTTTGAAAAATATATTTTGTGTTTTTTTCATCTATATGTTTGTGCAAGGAGCTAAAGAAATGTTTATGTTAATTTTGGGTAATAAAGTTTACGTATCTCAAAATATTTTATTGTAAATTTCTGTTGCGTGGGCTTAATGGTAATTATAACCTGAATATTGATGATACTCAAGTTTTGAGTGGCATAAAGATCGCTTAACAGTTTCCAGATATGTGAAAGTTCATAATTGTAGTTAAACAAACTTATTGCTAAGTATAAAATATTTTTCATTACACGTACTTATTGCATTTACACGTTAATCTCTTTAAGTGTTCGACGCACCCACTGGCCGCCTTCCTTTGCCAAGGTAGCAACAAAACGCACAGTGCCTTGATAACCAGCAGGTATCCAAGAGAAGTCAACACTCTTGAGCGGGCCCTCCTCTTGAGTTTCCGCATGCAAGATCGTATCCTGCACAATGGGAAATCATAAATCTATATATTCTATATAAATAATATATTATATTTATGTACTGGCACTCACATCCAAATTCTTGCACGCCATAGTTTTCGAATTATGTTCATCGATAATTTGAAATCTGCCCACTGGCACACCACTGGGATCTTGTGCTTGTATCGCAAAACCTGAAAAGCCGCCATTGCCACCGCTTAAACGCAGCTGAAATTTCTCCTCATTTGCATTGCTGTTGTCTTCGGCTTTAGACAATGTTTGCGCCGGTGGAACTTGATGTTGTTCGACATTTGCATAATTGCAGAAGTCCGGTGGCAGAACTGTTGATGCCAAACAAAAAGTGGGAATTGCTAAGCAGAATGCAATCAAAAGCACGCGAAACATTTTTTATAAGTTTTAATTTTTTAATATTAAGAAATTTAAAGGATTTACTAAAATTTTTTTGCTAATCAAAATTTGGCAAAATTTTTTAATTTAGATAAAAAGTGAATGACTTTTTGTATGTATACGAAAAAAAATATTTTTTTTTGAAGCATTGACTTTGTTTTGAAGTGGATGCCGTGATGTCTATAGTGCCAGCATATTGTTTTCTAATAAAAAAACAAAATATTATTTTTATGATTGACAACAAAAATTTAATTTTGTATAATTTCGGTTTCTTTTAGTTATGCATATTCTTAGTTATAACGTGGAATAAAACTTGTGCTGACAAAGCTTCATCCGCAATGGCCCTACTATACTTACTAAGTTGATATGGTTTATCCAGATAGTAATCGTATAGAACCCAATTTCTGGAAAATTTCAACCAATGGCAGAAATCATTTTAGTTCTCTGTGAGTTATTTAACTTCCAACATAAGATCAAAAGTATTTCAATGATTTTATTCGTTATCTTATTGATGTATGTTTATTCTTTAAAAAATGTATAAATAGCCATTCCCAAATATTCCTCGCTATTGTGGTATAGCTTGGACGTTGCTATGTAAACATCTCCGATCTCCCAATTCCTATGACAGTAGGGTCTATCTAGCCGGAGGAAACCCGGATTTTTATCCAACGCAAAACTATCAACTCGTCAGCTTTACTAAAAATTGTGAAGAATATTTTACAACAACAAAAAAATACGGAGATATCCTGATCGCATAGATCTAACCAAACTTTTTAAGAACTGACGAAACTGAACGATGGTAAAATCGGAACAATAATAGTTACAGAGCAATATTTGCTTAAAAGAAAAACCGATGAACCTTCACTTAAAATAGTAACAACACACAAAAGACTTCTATCACACAAAAATACTTTACAGTTTTATTTCACATCTTCAATTCCTACAAATGGTATTTTAGATTTCATATAAATTTGTAAAAACGAATTAAGTTTCTAAACAAAAAAAAATACATTCAATTTATAAAATTTAAACTTCGACCTCCTTGAGCACCTTACGGATCCAATAGGTGCCACCGTCTTGAGCAACTGTGGCAACAAATTTCACTTTACCCTTATAACCGGTTGGATCCCAATCGAAAGCTACGCTCTTAATGGGACTGTCATGCGAAATCTTCTTGTGGGTGAGTGTGTCCTGCAATAATAAAAATAAAATTAATAAATTAAATAAAAATTTGAGCACATCACAAAGCTTTTGGTGTTTGCACTCACATCAGCATTGCCGCAAGTCAACGTTTGGGATTTAGTGCCTTCGACCACCTTGAATTTACCCACTGGCTTATCGTTGGCATCACGCGCCTGCACTACGAAGCCCAAGAAACCATTCGAACCGCCGAGCGTGAGTGAAACTTTGCCATTCTGTGCCTTGCTGTCGCCCGAGAAGCTATATGGCACCGGCGAGGTCTGGCCATCGACACCATGTTCGGGAGTTAAACCGTTAGAGCAGATGTTTGTGGGCGCACCAGCTGAGTAGCTGTAGGCGGGCACGGCCAAGCAGGCGGTAAGTAGCAGCAAGCGAAACATATTGACAGGTGTTAAGCTGTGAGAAAAAATTAGTTAGAGTGTAATTTATGTACATAAATGAATTACTTATAAATAAAAAATAAAGTTTTGTATGTCATTAGAAGTTATTTGCTGTTTTGCAATAAATTTATGCAGCTAATAAGCGACGGTTTACAGTTGTTACTTCTTTTTATATGACTGCTATGTAGGTTTGTATGTCTGCATTTCTGTGTGTATATATTCATTAATATTTATTAGCTGTTACTTAACTTTGGTCCACCAGCACTTATCACTTACGGCAAACGTCAATTAGCGCCCGTAATTAAGGCGACCACATTTTGCAAAACAAAAAAAAAACACAATAAAATGTAAAAAAAAAACAAAAACATTATGGTATGCAAATATATGCAACACGTTTATCATAAAAACATTTTCCATGCAAAACCGTAAAGTAAATGTACAAGTAAATGCAAACTTACTCACACTTACTTATTTGTTTACATGCATGCATTTATCGTAAAAAGTACATATGTGTGTATTAAAAAAGTGTACCTACTGGAAATATTAAGCACAATGACAGTTAACTGTCTACAAATTTGATTTGTACAAAATAACATTCCTATTGTATGTATGTCATTGATTATTAAAAGAGAGAGAAGGCAATGCTAAAAACCGGAATTAGACTTTACCTGCTCATTATACAGCCAATATAACGTAACAACTGCGAAAACTCCCTTTTTTTTGTATATATCAAATATGCATATACTTGAGAATATTCTCCGAAAATTTGAAGTCGCATATTTGTTAGAAATTTTTAACTTAGTGTAATCGACTCCCAAAACCTTAAACAACTTTTTAACAAAAAGCTGTTTTCAGCGTCGCTAAGAAAAATTTCTTCGAAACGACTGAAGGCAACCACACTGAAATGTTAATTTTCTCACAAAAACCGACTTGCTTTTGGCAAGCCGCCATTTGGCAAAAATCTGAATTTTGGTTAGTTTTTCGATCCTTACCGGTATTCAACTATTGTAATCATAAATTTGTTTTTGGTTTTCGGATTTGAGATAATTTCAAGTTTAATCCTCGTCACCGTCAGACACTATTTTTCGGCGGTCATCCTGGAGACCGACTACGGCATCAGGCAAATATAATTATTTTCAAAATGAATCACCGATAATTAACAACATTAAATTCTGTAAATTAACTTTTATTTTATTTTTATTATATATTAATTAAAATTTAACTTCAAAAATAATTTAAAAAAAACTCGTTAATAATATTATCCCCGCTAGGTAGTCGATAAAGTGGTCAGAAGTATCTGTAAAACTTTAGTTTTCCATACGTCTCTCATAGCTATTCCTTCCCATTTCCTTAGTTTTTATAAACAATAAGAAATCACTAGGAAATATTGTAGTACACTACACAAATCTTGTTTTAACATTTGTTACATTAACACTAAAACTCTCTAATAAGAGAAAATTAACATAACCGCAAATTTTAAATATCTGATTAAACCCTTTGGTGCCAAATTCTTCTACGAAATTCATGTTCTCTATCAAAATCACTTCAATGATTATGATACTAATATGAAAGATGTATGTATGCAACGTTCGTAGCGTAACCATTTCCAACTGGGTAGCTAGCGTATGTAAACAGATTTGGTTAATTTAGGTAGTTGTCCAAGAGACCTTGGCTTAGTATAAAAATATTAATATATGTATATGTATGAAAACCAGTTAACCAGTTAGATGGACGATTTTTTCTGGATTTTTATTTAATTTTTTATTTTTGCAGCAAGATATTCTAAACTTTGAACAAAGATACTTTAATTTGTCTTAAATAAATAAATTATTGTACAATGCAAAAAATTATTTTTGCAACGTTAGGTGTTGTTGCAAATTGGCAATCACAAATACTAGAAAAATGACTTTACGAATTTTGCCGAAAAAATTTAACTAAACTCATTAAAAATAATTCTGAATATAAAAAATAAATAAAAAAATAAAAAACAAATTTAATCTGAATTGCATGAAAGTAAACATTTAGGTTATGTTGTATGTGTGTTATGCGTAGTATATTAAACCTATTTTTGTTTTGCTATAAGTCCGCAAACACAAGACTTTTTGAAGATATTTTAAATTTTTTAATGCCAATTTAAGCTAAATTTAAAAGCTTTAATATTTTTTCTTTTTAATTGCGTTTTAAGTCATGCTCAATTTTTTATCACAATCCCTACCATTGCTTATACAATAATTTACATGCATCTCGTCTTTTATTCGAGTTATCGTTTTTTTTTTGGTTTATTGTACGCTGTTTAAAATTTTAATTTTTAACCAGTTGCATAACAGATGGCATTAATAGCTCTTGATGACAAATCCGGTTAAAAATTGAGTAGCGTTTTTTATTTCAATTACTTCTCTTGTTAATTACCGTTCAATATAAATTGCATGTGATTTTTATGTGTCTGTATGTATGTAGATATGTATATACTTTATTGAAATTAGTCTGTGGCAATAGCGTAATGACATTACTGTTCAAAGCGTGTTCGCTTAAGTGTTGACAATACATTTTTGTTGTAGTTCGTTAAATTGTAACAAGAGAACAAACATTTAATTTGATTTGCAAAAATTAAGTGGTGTCGTAAATTTTACATGGTTGCTTAACGTTCTGTGATTGCTTTAATTAAATTTTGATTACATACTGTTATATTCGTGCGATAACAACAACACTAGCATTCTGAGTAATTTATACAACGCAATGAGGAAGAAATTACAAAGGTTGCCAACTATTTATGGCTGTAAGCAAAAAAAGTAATAATAATGTTGTAGATATTCGCTTAATGAGCTGCAATGACTTTCACTTTTACAGTTGTTGTAATGACAAGCTAATCTTAATACGCAGGAGTTAGAGGTAAATAAGTTCTAAATTAACTGTTTCATGTATTTATATAGGGTGTTGCAAAATGATGTCTAGAAAATTAATTCCGTTACTTATCTTGCAAGTGTGTAGAGTAACGAATTTTTATATAAACAAATTTTGAATTAAAAATTATTTTAAATTTTAATTATTTTACATTTTTAATTCCAATTGAAAATTTAGTTTTTAATTCCAAAATCAGTATTAAAAATTGATAAAATATAAATCGTTTGAAAGTGTAAATTTGTCGACCAATGTTCTAGAGTATCGTATGTGATAAGTGCAAGGTCTAGTTTAAAATGGTAAAAGTACGCAGGCGCGAAAAAATTTTTTTTATTTTTTTAATTTTTAATATAAATTTGGGTTTAATAATTTTTCGGTATTACAAAATAAAAAAAAATTAATTTTGATTTAAATGTAACTATTTTTTTAATGCATTATTTGTAACCCTGGTAGAGCGTTATAAAAAAGTAATGCATTGTAGACTATACTCCAAGCATGTGACCTGAAAATCTTAGCTAAAAGAATATGTGACAACCAAAACACGTTTTAGTGAGCAGGTAATACGACATATGTTGTATAATAAATAACATTTTCAAAAATTTGTGCATGATAAATTTTGAGTCAAAAAAAAAGCTCTCCACAAATGTTCTCTCCAATATTGCGAATGGTTCCGCAGCTTTGCTATATTTTCTGTTTGCGGGCGTAAACAGTCATTGACATTATTTGTTAAAACAAGTTAATCAGAGATTTTCCGCATTTAATTCATAGAAATATTTGGAAATTCCAGAAGGATTCTCACTTACGACTTGCCGATTTGGTTTCAAAAATGCTAAACTTAGCACATTTTGCCACGAAAGTGAGAAAAAAAGTTTATTGCAAACAATTACAAATGTGCTACATGTTGGAACACGCTTTATAATGAGAAAGCGAAACATTTAATTAGTCAGCAGAAAATTTGAAAATTTACTACAAAGTAAAAAATAATTATTTTAAAACACGGGAACTGAATGTATGTAGGTTTTATAGCTATACCAATACTAAAACAACGTAAAAAACCGATAACATATATAAACTTATTAAAATTAAATATATATTAAACTATATTATTTGTATTTAATTAATATCAAATTAGTATTTATTTAATTTTTTGTTTTTTTCATTTAGCATTAAAACATTAAAAAACATTTAAAATTAAATTATAACTGAAGAAATTAATTTAATTTTAAAAAAGGTATTTGAGATATTTAATATCAATTTAATATTAATCTTAATTTTATTAATCATTTTTTATTAATCTACAAATAAATAATAAAATGATAAAATTTTAATTTAAAAAAAAATTTATTTAATTAAAAACCAGAATTAGAAATACTAATTTAATATTAGCCTTAATTTTATTAATCTACAAATAACCAGTAATTAAATTACAGTTTAAATTATAATTAAAAAAGTTTTATTTAATTAAAAAAAAGAATTTGAAATATTTAATACTAATTTAATATAAGCCTTAATTTTACAAACATTCAAAAATTAAATTACAATTTAGAAAAATTAATTTAATTAAAAACTAAGAATTTTAAATATTTAATATTAATTTAATATTAACCTTAATTTTATTAATCTACAAATAATCAAAAATTAATTAATAATTTAAATTATAAATAAAAAATATTAATTTATTTAAAAAATAAAATAATTTGAAATATTTAATAATTTTAATTTATTATGAGACTTCATTTTATAAATCTTAATTTTATTAATCTACAAATAATCAAAAATTAAATTATAATTAAAAAAGTTAATATAGTTAAAAAATAAGAATTTGAAAGTTTTACTATTAATTCAATATTAGTTTTAAATTATTCGCAATTTCTTTTAGCTAATATAATTTTATTTGAAAATAATTTTAAATTATAAAAAAATAATTTTAATTCGTTAATATCAAGTTAGTATTGGTTTTATTTTATGATAAACTTTTTTGTTTATTTATATTTCTATATTAATTTATTTAACAAAAATTAAAAACGGAATTAAAAAAAATATTAAATTAAAATTAAGAATTCTAAATATTATTTTAATATTTTATTTTGTTAATATTTAACTTTTTGAAACGTTTTTATTTTATTTTAAATTTATTTCATTTAATATCGCATTTTTTCTATCAATTAATTAATTTTATAACTAGCATACAATTATGCTGTTAATAAAAAGCAGGCGACAATTAGCTATTTTATTCCCATCAGCAGCGCGCAATTAAATGTGCATGCACAAGGCTATCGCTGATTAGCTTCAGCAACACTTTGATAATGACACAATGTCTGCGATAACATTTCTGCTTGTTTCAAACTTAAACGCTCACACAAGCATATATATGTACATGTAAGTACCTTGATTTAAATATGTGTGCATCGGCTAAGTGTCAATATGTTTAGAGGAAAAGAAATATATTTTCATTCCAACATCATGTCAACCGAGCTGCATGTCACCGTAACTTATAATTTATTGCACACCTACACACATACAAATAGCTATACGCATGCATAAATAATAAAAATACTATTTAACAACTAAACATTGAAAATACATTAATTCTTTTTCAACGCCATTCTTATTAAACAGATTATAAAACAGAAATCAGCATTTAACACTGGCCTTGTCTACAACAAACAAAAGACTTAAGCAGCAAACTTCGCGCATACAAAGCATATACATTTTTTTATTTTTTCACATAGATCGAGCTATAGAAAAGAACTATTAGTGATAAATCGAGTATAAGCGAAAATGTGCACGAGATGTTGGGGGCGCTGCCTCAAAGCATATACACACACACATACACATACTCGTACAAGCACATTTGTATGCGTATTATTTATATTTACCGCTGTTTATGAACGCGTACAAGCCTAAAACAACTTAAACACACAATTTATGTTTTTTTTATCAAAGTTTCTAGTGAAATCATAAAATATGGCGACTTGATTGCGCTACTGCAGCAACCAGCGGCACAAAACACATAAATAACCAGCGAATTGCTTATAAAAATAACGTTTTTTGTGGAAAATTTTTTTGTGCAAGCAATTCAAGAACTAATACGTAGAGACAAATAAAGTCTGTGCATGGATATTTCAGCTTGAGTTATGGCTTTAAAAGTGCTTGACTTAAAAATTGTCTATTGGCATTTTAAAGGCCAAAGCAGGAAACCAGTATTGAAATATTAGTACAAAAAATATTTTTTAATACGGTTTAATATGTGGGTACAAACATGAGGTTATGTGAGCATTAATTTGTAAGTATATTTGAGCTCGTTTGTTTAGAGCAAACATTACTAAAATATTCTAGAAACATTTCATGATCTGAATGTAGGTTTTTTACAGTTTAAAATAATAACGCAGTCAAAGAGATGGAGAGAGTGAGAGAGATTATAGGTATTTGTTTAGAAAAGTCGAAAATTTATTAAATGTATAATGAAAAGTTTTTCTCTTAAATTATCTCAAATTAAAAGACGATTCGAACCACAGTCAAGTACCTTCTTCAAGGAAGCGTTGTATGTTGTTTTTATTGTAAACGCTACATAAATATTTCTCAAATAGTTTAGGGAACGCTACTATCATGGCAATGCTTGGCAGGATATACTATGTACATATATAAATACACATATAATAAAATTGAGCAAAAAATATATAAAAAATATTTTTAAAAAATTGAGACAAAAAAAATAAAAATTTTAAAAAAATTTTAGTAATAAAAAAAATAATTTCGCAAATTAAATTCAAATGTCATGTGTGGAAGATTGGTGTGCAAACCAAATTTAAAAAATATAATAAAAATTAAAATATGTATATATATTCATATATAAAAAAATTAGAAAACGTTATAAAAATTATTAAAAAAATTAACACAAAAAAAGTTTTAGTAAAAAGAAAAAAAATTATTGCAAATTAAATTCAAATGTCAAGCGAGAAAGTTTGGCCTGCAAATAAATTTAAAAAATTAAAATATGTACATATATGTACATATATGTACATACATACATATATAAAATAATTTAGAAAAGTATATTAAAAATAATTAACACAAAAAAATTTTAATAAAAAGAAAAAAAATTATGGAAAATTCAATTCAAATGTTATGCGTGGAAGATTGTTGTAAAAACAAATTTAAAAATTATAATGAAAATTAAAAAAAATATATATATACATATATACATAATATACATACAAGCATAAATCAAAAAAAAAATTTTTAAATATATAAAAAATATTTTAAAAAAATTAACAAAAAATATGTAATTAATTAATTTAATTTAAAAGAAAATTAAATATATATGTATTAGTATAAAAACAAATTTAAAAAATCAAAAACCGAAATTTCTGAATTAAGCGAAAGCTCGTGAAAAAGTTAAGAAAAGGCATTTTTTTTTAAAAGAACATTATCGAAACGATATACATACATACAGTTCAATTACAAAATTTGTTTTTGTTTTGGAACTCATTATTTACTAATTTGTTGTACACAGATGCACAGATTTCATGATCGTGATCTCAGTAAACTAAAATATTAAAACTTTTTTTTATAAATTGTGATATATTTTCGAACTTAATATTAGTAATCTTTTAATAAGTGTTTGTGCTGATAAAAGAATAATTTTTTGTTTTAATTTTAGAAAATTAGTTGCAGTTATAATAATAACTAACTTCTAAAAAGTATATCGCTATCACAATTACCTCATGAAAATACATAAAATACAATGTATAATTATATAAAATGCTTGAGTGTGCTTGAAATGAGTAATTTATTTATCGATATTCTCGAAGGCCGCCACTAAATCGCTTAAACTATGTACTAAAGCAATTTTATTAGAAAAATTATATTTCCAAGCAATTTTTAATTAAAATTTAACTACATTTTTTTCAAATGTTTTTTTTAAGAAAAATTGGTTGATAGACATATACATATGTATGTCTGTCTGTCTCTCTATATATACGCGCACTAGTCCCTCAGTTCTTGAGATATCGATTTGAACTTTCGCACACGTCCTTTTCTCTCCAAGAAGCTGCTCATTTGATGGAACCACCGATATCGGACCACTATAACATATGGCTGTCATATAAACTGAACGATCGGAATCAAGTGCTTGTATTGAAAAGTTTTTTAATTGACATGATATCTTCAAGAAATTTTGCACAGATTTTTGTTCACGACAGCGCAATCATTTCTGAAGAAATTGTGCAGATCGGATCACTATAGCTTATAGCTGCCATACAAACTAACCGTTCAAAATTCAGTTCTTCTATGGAAAATTTTTTTATTTGACAATATATCTTGACGAAATTCGGCGTGAACTATTTTTACGGACAACGGTACAATTTCCGCATATATTGTTCAAATCGAACAACTATAGCATATAGCTGCTATACAAACTGATCGAACAAAATCTAAATAAAGTTCTTTTTATACCCTTTTATGCTATAATAAATGCAGCTGTAAAGGGTATTAAATTTTTTTCTTGTTTTTATACATTTTTGCACGCACAATTCAAACACATTGTGCTAAAATGTATTGTTTCACTTAAAACTAATCAATCTGATCTAATTCTGTAAGGACCTTGTGCAACAGTAAATAAATAAAATGACACCGCACTGCAATACACAAATAATTAAAATTTCAAATTTTCGTACCTTCAATACAATACACCGTGCGAAAGTTAAATAAACTAGGCGTAAACTTTACTATCAAAGCGATAAACTGACAATAAGCTGAAAATTCTTTTCCATACTCGTATTTATACAAAAACTGCACGGCACACGGCTGTTTTGTGCAGAACAAAATTTAAACTACGGAAATCGTCGTTATGTATGAACGTTCAACCGTTTGGTAGCACACACACATATATACATACATACATATGTATGTATGTGCACCGGTTGTACAAAGTACTGTCGTTTGTGGATTTTCAGCGTTTGGTCCACGAATGAACTCGGCGCTACGAAGCGAAGCATGTGCACATATACATACATATGTATATCCATATAGCGCTATACATATTTTTTATAATTTTATTTGTATGCAAAAAAGCTCGACACGAAATAGAAAACATTGTAATTATAAAAACAATCGATTGTTTAAGCTGTGATTTGAAAAAAAAAAACAAAAACAGAAAAGAATTAATGTAAACTTGTGTTTAACTCTGCATATACATGTGTATATGGACTTGCATGTATGTGTATGCAGACACATTTATATGTGTAAATAAAAAAATTTTGCCTTAAGCTTGGGTAGCGTGACCGGTATTGATTAATTACACTGGTAAGCGGGTCAAAATTCTGCAAAATGCATAAAACTAGATTTAATTATGTTATTTGAATATGCATGCGCCTAAAAGGTGCAGCTAATTTAATGATTAATAACAATTTGTGAAATTTAATTAATTAGATGAAATTAAGAGAGCTCAAAATGCGAAAGGGAGAGCATCCATAAGAGACTGCTCCATAGATCAAACAAAACGGCTTAATATAAGAATATGACATTTTTCCACGATTATTTTTATTTGTGTGTTTTTTTTTTTTTTTTTTTTGGAAAAGTTGGTTTTTAGCAGTTTTGATCAACGCATTTTATTAAGCTTTATTAAGTACTGGTGATTGTAATGAGATTTCATTAGATCTGGTGGCGATCATCTTATAGTTAGACTACAACAACAATTAAAATAACAGACCTATTGGTAGGCATACAAGTTAATATATGTTCACCAAAAATATTATGGCAAAACAAGCAGTTCGTATTCAGACGATATTTATACTCGTACTTTGTAGAAATATTGATTACTAGCACAACACGAGTTTACTCTCCCAACTGCTTTGACCATTTTGCTTATGTAATGAATGTACATATATATATTTGAGAATATTCTCCGAAATCTTGAAGTTGATACGGCAAATAGTTTCGGCGTTATGAGCATACTTATAAAAAGCTTTTAAACTTAGTGTGTTCGGCTCCCAAAACTTTAAGGGGCACACCTAGTGTGACAGCCTAAAAAGCGTCGATTTTTGAGAATTAAAAAAACAAACTACTGTATCGATTGTTTTGAAATTTTCGGGGTATATTTGTACACGTTTCAAGAAAGCATAGTGAAATTTTTGAAAAAAAATATTTTTTGAATTATACGAGATCTCCGATGGCGCACAAAAAAATAGAAAAATCTCGTTAAACTAAAAGTAATTCTACGTATAACGACCTACAATAAAAAAAAATCAAACATTGACAAAGTTGCGGCGTTTCTAAAAACAAGCAGCAAATTCGAAAATTGCTGTTTCAAGAAAAACGCGTTTAAAGATAAACTGTTAGAGCTGATTGAACTGCCACTCAGCCACACTTTAGAAGGCTGTAACTCAAAAAATATTTGAAATTTTCATATAAAATTTTAATATGTTATTTTCAAAGATATGTATACCTATACTATCGAAATATGCAAAAATTAGAAACAATTTTTTTTTTTCAAAATTTCACACTAAGTGTTACTTACTCCGAAACGAATGCACCGACTTGAAATTTTTACACGATCACCTTAGCTATATTTGTGAGATAATATTGGAAGGAATAAGATTTTTTTATATAATCGCGATTTTTAAGCCACTCTTAGTGTCAACTTTTTGCAAAAAAAAAACGATTTTTTTGGAAAGCCACCATTAAGTCGAAAATCAAAATAGTGCTTCAATAACTTGATTTTTCTATTGTTATCATTTTTTTTTTTTTTTTTTTTGGATTTGAGATAATTTTAGGAGAAAAATCTTTCACACGACAGACACATGTTTCCGGAGGTTCTCCTGGTGATCGGCTATGTACTCAGGGATTCCTAAATTTTTCAAAATGAATTATGTAAAATGACGTTATTTTTTACTTATTTACTAATTAAATGCCTTCAAGAAAAAAAATCACAAAAAAATTATTTTTGCTTTTACTTGCAAGTGTATACTTGTATAACCTCTTTGGAATTGGGGTTGTTTGAATTATTCAAATTTACATAAGGTACTGCGATAGAGTATATCTTTTTCTTGATTTCTAGAATTAAGCGCTTTGCTTTTCAATTCCTAAAAGCATAGAGGTAAAAATGTTATCATATATTATATATACATATGTAAAAAGCGTTTAGTTTTACCTTCACCTCAACCCAGTTTAAACCTTCAATGTGTAACTGACAGCTGGATCTCGTTCGTGCTTGCTAAGACTTCAAGAGAACTTGATCGGACTCTTCGTAAAAGTATTTTATTTACAAAAACGGTTAAATTTACATTATCAAAACGTAAACAATTAATATATGTACATGGTAATTTTTACTTAAAATTTACTTTTTTAAGTTTTAGCGCATTTATAGGTCGTATAAACTTTTTCCTTTCTTCCCGATGTTTCTTCATTAAATATTCGCGCTTCTTTTCATCTTTCGTGGGTTTCTTTTTTAAGTCGAACGTCATCTGCCGGTTGCCTAGATTACGTCCAATCGTAGTCACGTTAGCGCTGGTGGCTTCATTGAATCTCACACGATCTTTTAGACTTATTTTCATGATTTTAGTACGCATTTCGCTAAGTTTCAAGTTGTTGTCTTCTAAAGAGGTCATTTTGACGTGACCTCCACGCTGTGTACTCTCTTCCGCACGATTTACGTTAGCTGATATAATTTTCTGCTCATTTTCACTGTGCTCTTCGCCTTCTTCTTCATTTTCCTGTGCCTCGATCTCTTCCTCACGTTGCTTTCTCACATCTTTGTAGGCTCTCTTCATTTCCTTCGCAAAATCGCGCATACCTTCATCATCTGAAGATTCATCGGCAGAAGATTTTTCGTTGTCATCATCACTTTTTTCGAAGCCGAACAGATCTTCATCGTTGTCACTTTCCTCATGTGGTTTCGCCTCTTCAGCATGCAACTCCGTAACACGCGCCACTTCAATACGTTTCTTAATATCCTTGATTTTAGATTTTTCCAGGCGGTTCAAAACCGGTGCCAGTAATTTGTATTCTTCGGCACCTTTGTTAATAGCAAATTCAGGATTTTCGAACATTGCCTTGAAACGTGTATCCGCAAGTAGATTTGTGGTTTTGGTTGTTTTTGCCTTATTTGCTTGTTCGTCCATAATCTTAAGTGCCAATTCTTGATTGACTTTTGGTAGAGTTGTTTTGATCTGTAAACGAGACTTACGTTCACTTTCGATTTCTTTACGTATTTTCTCTTTGCGGAAGCGTTCAAAAGCAAATGGATCAGCCACCGATTTAGCCTTATTGTACAAACGTGCATCGATGAAGTAACTGAAATACGTTAACAGATGGCGTGTTTTTAAAACTACATAGCTTTTGAAAAATAATCTAAATTTACCCGTGCATGTAGCCCTTTAGTAGATTACTGCCAATCAAGTGTTCCAAGCCTAGTTCATCCAATTCCTTTTGTGTTATAAACTGGTAGTCGTCATACATATTCTCCACCACTTCAGATTCTATTTCCTCGGTGAGGTTATCCAGGAACGAACACCAACGCGGCGCTGGACCCATCGATGGCACATAATAGGTTAGCATTTTGACATCTTCTTGAGCAAGGAAAAACATTCCTGTCTCGGGTATAGTACAGAAATCATTAAAAGTGGTAGATGTTTCAATGTATGCCACTTGTTTGCCCTTAAAAGGCGTGAAAATTAAATTTATAAATCACAAAAATTAAAGTAATATTACAGTATTCTTACCGTATTTTCATCCCATAACTTTAGCATGGCATCATCCAGCGAATATACTGTTTGATGACTCGGATTGAAAGCTATACGTTTCACCGGCACTTTATTTAAATGATCTTTAACCAGCAATGGTGCTTGTGCACGTATATCATAGAGTAGCACATGTCCCGAAGCTGTGCCTACGCCCATTTGTAAACCATTTTTAAATTTCAAAGCGGATACGGAAGGAAACGTTTTCGTGCCTGGCAATTTTATCGCTACGTCTAAATTGCCCACACGTGTTTTGCTGCGTGGATCCCATGCTTCTACCGTGCCCTCTTTACTACCAACGATAAGTAATTGATGTTCAGGATTTATATCACAAGCATTGTTACAACTTGCATTCGTTTCAAATGGTTGCAAAAATTGTCCACGCTCTAAGTTCAAACGATAAATGTCCTAAAAGTAAGAGTTATATTTAACATATCATATATAATCACATACAATAATTTTTAAATTGCTTACACGCGTTGTTCCCACAACGAAGAGATCACAAGATGGTTTGTGGTATTTCATATCACGTCCAAAGCGTGGTATACGCAAACGGTAGTGTCGGCCGGAGGCAGAATGAATTTCAACAAACCGATCACATTGTAAAAAAACCTATAAGGTAAGCAAAATACAAATGTTAATTTGTTTACTCCGCAGTATTTCATCTTCATTATTTTTACTCACTAATTTACTGTAATCATCGCCGATAGCCTCAAATGTTGTCACCTCTGAATCAAAACAACGCTCAAACTTTATAGATAAATTACTGACTTCGAAGCATTTAACTCGTGGCTTATAGGTGCCTGTAGCTAATATATACTGCTGATCGGGGCTCATGCGTATCGATGTACAAACTCCTGGCATATCAAAATCCTGTATAAGCTCGATTTGTCGACGTGAATCGACTTTTTTCATTAACTGGGAACGCTTACGGCGATCTGTAAGCCACTGAAAATTTAAAAAAAAATACATATTATCAAGGATATCAACGTTTTAAAAAATATTGGCACTTACTTCTGGCACAGATTTGCCAGCGCTTAGGTTGTATATTTTCACATCATTCACTTCGTTGACAAACATCTTCTCATATTATATTAGTGCGCGAATTTCAACTATTAATCAATAAAAACAAGAAATATTTTTAAATAATTTGCTTTAAAAGCACGAGCTGCGTTGTGCTATGCAAAAATGTAAACACACAGAGAGAGAAACAATTTGAGTATTGCACGTGTAATTGAGCAGCTGTCAAAAATCTCAAGTATTCACAATATGTTTGAGTTTTTTACTACGGATTAATAACAATGATTGTACTTAATATGTTAATAAAAAAAATAGCTTTAGTCAATAAAAGTCAGAAATAAATTTCTGAGAATTTCAAGAAAAATAATTGTAAATATATAAATGCGAAATTATGACATTCTCCAATTAAAACCGATTACTCTTTGATTTATGATCTTTTATATCAAAGACATTGGCAGCCCTAATAATGACAAATTGAATACAATACAAAAGATAGGAAAAACGTAGAAGATAAACGATTATAGAAAATTGAACAAATTATTTGTGTCTGCTGGTTTAATTTTATCAATGTAAAAATTTGCGAAAAATGTACAATAAACTCATTTGAAATTAAAAACGTTTATACGTTTACTTTGTTGATGCAATAAAAAGTAAATACGTCAAAAGCGTTAAAAATTAACCTCAAGACCAAAGAAAATTTTTCGAACGGGGAACGCAATTAGCAAAAATTTACAAATACAAAAGTACAAATTGAGTTATTCGTCATCAGTAATTCCCTTTTAAAAGATAAAATTTACGCATTTGTGATTTAAGTTATATTAATTATTATCAAACCTAATAACATATAATCAAAAGGACAAAAACATCACCAAAAAAAGTAAAATCATTAAAACAACAACACAGGTGGCGCTTGTCTATAGGCAGATTTACCCACAGCAGCGCTAACGCGAAGAGTATCGTTTAAACAGAGTCGGTGCTACAGCTTAAAAAGGGTAAGATAATTGAAATGTATTATATGCTTTATTATTGATGTTCCAAGAAAAATATTGAAAGTTGAAATTTGATATTCATATTCTAGTAGTAGAAAATTTAACTTCACAGAAGTCTAATGAAGTTGTTACCTTGAGTTTTCAGTTTTATTTTGCTTTGAGGCGTATATACAATATTATAAACAAAGTAAGTCATATTATATCTTGGAATGAAACAAAGACTTCTTATGTTAGTATTTTGGTACTACATTTTATCTTTATGGCAATCAAAATGCATATGTAAGGTCCTATACATATATATTTGACCATTTTCCACGTTCACTCATCCCTGGTATGCTTTGTGTACATATTTTTTTTTGCATATTGATTTTACCGATGCTGTGTGACATAGTAAAAGCTTTTGCAATACAAGTAATTAACATATGTAAGTAAATATGTTTGCTTTGAACGTCGTATAAAATTAGTTGGTAGGTAAAATGACAATATTTGTGCTTAACCCAAAGCGACACATATTTTTATTTACATAGGAATAAATGAACATCGTCATAGTTAAATACGAATACGAGACGATTTTTTTATAAGTGTGTATGTGTGAACGTGTTTTGGTACTTATTCAAGTTTGTTACTAAGCTGCGCTTATTTTGTTAAATAAATTAGCAATTATATATTGTGAGTAGATTTTATATGGTGACACCTTTATTTCGATTACTCTTATTGGTGTTGTTGGCGTAAAATCATAATATTAATATTAAAGCTTACACGGTGTTTTTCACTTCATAATTGATACTATAATTTATAAAAACTCTGTTTTATCATCATTCCAATACAACACAAATATCTGCTGCATAACCATCCTGATAGCTGTATGGGAATTTGTACGCATGTATGTACATACTGCCACATGACAAATTTTTATAATATTGATATTTGTGGTTTACTAATGCCTTCTTTTTCGTTGTCTTTTACGCCTACAATTATTCATATATTTTTCTAATGTGACTAACTGAAACTACTTTTTCATATATGTGCATACATATGTACATAGTTAATAGGTATGCGCTTTTTCCCATGTGTAATTTATGCTGTTGTATGTATGTTACTTAATTAAATTCTAAATTTTTCCCTAGCACTTCCCAAAAAAAGTGATAACAAACCGCCAGTGGCTTAGTTACCGACACTACGTTAACGCCGCTAATAAATCCACAAAGCAGTCAAAATTTCTTTATATGTATGATTTGAGTGAGCGTTGTTGTTGTTTCTCTCACCACCAACTCATTTGTTTGGTAATCAAACAAACGCAACCTGGAGTAAATGGTGTCAGAGAAGTTTAAACTTTAAGCTAACTTTAGTAGAAGTACAACACACAAAACGCTGACGATAACAAAAATTTACTTTCAAAATTATAGAACTAAATAGTTTTTCAAATATCAAAAATAATGTGGTCGTGGCTGCAGAAATTATCAAATGATATTGATTATTTTCTAGAAACCTGTATGTTGTAAATATTTTGCTTATTTAAATTTAATAAAATTTGTTGTTTTTTGTTTTCCTTTCGCAGACCCAAAGATGTCGTCGGCACCTTACAACTACAACTATATCTTTAAGTACATAATCATTGGTGATATGGGGGTGGGTAAATCATGCCTGCTGCATCAGTTCACAGAGAAAAAATGTAAGTAACTGTAGATGTACATATGTATATAAAAATCTATCGCATACATAAAAGTGATAATATTCATGTACTTATAACTTGTAGTCATGGCGAATTGTCCACACACAATTGGCGTGGAGTTCGGCACACGTATCATTGAGGTAGATGATAAAAAAATCAAATTGCAAATTTGGGACACTGCGGGGCAGGAGCGTTTTCGCGCAGTGACACGTTCATACTATCGTGGTGCTGCTGGTGCGCTTATGGTTTATGATATAACAAGAAGGTAGGCGACAACTTTTTCTGTGTTCAGTACATTTTTTGATTTTGCTTAAATTTCGAATAAAAAATGTAACTGTTTAGATAAATATTGCGACGAAAAGCAAGAAATAACAATGTCTTAAGTGAAAAGTGTGTGTACATAATATTGAGCTGATATTTTACAATTAATTTTCCCAATAGATCCACTTACAATCATCTTAGCAGTTGGCTAACAGACACACGCAATCTCACAAATCCGAATACTGTGATCTTTTTAATTGGCAATAAATCAGACCTGGAGAGCACACGCGAAGTAACCTATGAAGAGGCCAAAGAGTTTGCTGATGAGAATGGTCTGATGTTTTTGGAAGCCAGCGCCATGAGGTAATTTTTTGTTTTATTTTCAATTTTCTAGCGGCAAGCTAATTGCTTTTACATGTTATTTGTTTCTAGTGGTCAAAATGTTGAAGAAGCATTTCTCGAAACTGCACGTAAAATATATCAAAACATACAAGAGGGTCGGCTCGATTTGAATGCTTCCGAATCGGGTGTACAACATCGACCTTCACAACCGGGACGAACATCGCTAACAAACGAAGCACCAAATACGAAAGATCAATGTTCATGTTAAATTCGCATTTTTTTTCATTCACGTTACTTCCTCTTTTTTGTGTATTATTATATTTTCCCCACTTTCTAATGTTAAGTTTAATTATAACGAAGCAAAATGATGTGTAAAAACAAAACAATTGCTATTATCTAAGTAAAAAATTATATATACACATAAATGATAATTATTACAAATATATATATACATACATATATACAGACGTTTATAAATTAGTAAACGTAATATCGAACAATTTGTAGCGAATTATAAACAGTTGGCAATGCTGAGAATGCAATGTGAAAATTAGTATTGTTTAAAAGAAAAAAATATTAAAGCGTGTATCCGCATTATAGAAAACTTCGTGTATTTCAATATACATACACACATACTTACAACTGTATGCGCGTATAGAAAAATAATTAAGAAATTCCCAAACGCTGTTTTAGCCAATATGCAATTTAATTGATTTTGTTTTTTTTTTGTTATGTGTAGAAACTTTTGGAATAGAAGTTTTTCTATATTTTAAAATCATTAGAATAGTGTGTACATGCAAATGAAATAATATCGCAATATGCGTAAGTTAGCTGAAACAAAACGATCGTACTAGATATATTAGTGTGTGAGTTAAATAAAGTAATAAAATCTGCAATTAAGCATAATTCAATGATATTTGATATATACACATTCGACATTATAAAATATTGAGTTGAGTCAAAAATTGCAAAGAAGTTTTTAAAATTTTATCGTAAAAATTAGCTACAAAAAAGCAAAATGACCTCTTTTAAACATTTGCGACAATTCAAATTTGTAAAATATGTTAATTAAAATATACAATATGTATATACTTATAATGTAATTAACTTGCAGAAAACACATTTATGCTCATTTAACAACAACCCGCGGTTGTTGGCGTGCATTGTACTAATTTAAGAGTTATTAAAAAAATTACTAATCAAATTTGTCTAAGAAAACGCATTCAGAAAGTTTTTCTCGAAATTTACACACGTATAACATTTTTTAATAGCAATAATATATATTCTAGTATAGTTCACTATGCCCATTACTACCACTACAAAATTATGAAATTGAATTTTCCCAAATTTAACCCCACCTTAAAGTAAACAAAGTTCCGCCCAGAGAGTTCTCCAGCTCTCCGCGTCGTATAATATTTAATAAATATTTAAAACGTTACATGTTCAGCGTAGTTTTCCAGGTTTAACTGAAAAATTAAATTTTGTTTAAAAGTCTATACACACACATATAGACCAAAAATATTAGATGTCATTTTGCAAAGCCGTAAGGTTTTCATATATTTGTACGCCCTTTATAAGATTTTCGAAAAAAATTTCTTGTTTATATTTTTCACTTTTCATCCTTTCAATGTTCCATTTTAAAGATGTTTAAACTTTTGCTTTTTTTAGCTATTTTGTTTTATTGGAAAATATTTTATAGAAACCTAACCCTAATTACACTACACTTTTGGTCTTCTAAATCAACAAATTGGTCCTTCAGATTTGTCGTTTTTCATTCGCATGCATGTATACATAATAGAAAAAGTTAAAAATAAAAACAAATGTGTAGGCCCTACGCTCCAACCGGAGTTAAAGGAAATACTAAACATATATAGATTTTATGATGCAAACCCATTTTTAGTACAATACATACAAACAAAACGTAAAAAAAACACGCAATAAAATGGTATTCTTAAATCACATAAAAATAACTTCTTTAATTATTACTCGTTTTATATGTATCGATACTTACATAATCTGTTTACATATTTTATGGTATACAATCTATAATTGTCTTTTTAAATTTTCACTCTGTGCTTATAAATTTATAAAAATAATTTTATTTTATAAAATACTAAAAATATGTAGCGGTAATATAATGAAGCGAATTATATTCGTTACTTCAAACGACTTACATAACGGTATATCTGCATACCGGGCCTTAACCGATTACAAGTGAGTATATAAAATAAAATGTCTTTACACTCGCCTACAAATTAAGAAAAGTTAGCAGACTCCTGCTAATACATAAAATTAAAGATTTTAGAGAGTACTTGTAGCTCTTAAGGAGCATTAAATTATTTTTTGAGTGTTTTGAATTTGTAAAATTAAAATTTTGTTTTTGTCGTTTCACTGGCAAACATATTTCTTTTAAGCTTGCTTCAGCTGTCAAAAAGTTGTTCTCATGTAATAACTTTATGTTTTGTTTACACAGATTTTATCCTATAAATATGATTGTATAATAACTATATTGCTGCAGTAATATCAGTCTATAATTCCGGTTTGCACAACTTATGGCGCCTGACATGTTTTTGTTCGTGTTTCTGCACATCATTCTCAGTGTCGCAATTCATTTATTTTCCATTTATGCATTCCTCACGACACCTCCTCCACTTTTACGATATCCCATGCACTGGCGTCATCTTTAGAGCATAGATCTAATCCAATGCGTGCGCCGATGTTTGCACTTTTGGCGCGCATACAGGTGCCCGCTGCCATATTGTAAATGGGACTGTGTTCGGTGCGCGTATGACGCCACTGCTGATCTCCCAGCATTTCATGACATTTATTAATATGCACCTGAGCATCACCATACGATTCGAGACATAATAATTTATCCAAAACTATTTCAGCTTTGTCCGTTTCGAACCAAATTTGATTGCGTGTACGCATGCATGCTTGTAAAATGAGTGGACTGCCCTTTTTGAGGAAACCTTTTACTTTGGGTGCCACCACCGAGGCACATAAGTTAGTGCCGCTTAAACGTATCATGTAAGTAGCGATATAATTGCGTTTTCTAGAATGCCATGGCTGGTAAACACCTGCAGATGCTGCTTTCTTAGCTGTCTGTCCTGGTAGCTGCAATTCAGGGTAAACATTTTTCATGTACCAAGAGAAGTCGTGGCATTTCAAACGGTTCCGTAACTCCAAACGTGCTGATATGTCACCATAATCTATATCACGCGCAGAATTTGTTTCTTTCAGGAAGTATTCCTTAAATTCATCCATCCATACGTGGGCAGCACGCAGTGAGTTCCGTTTCATTGTGTCCTTGCCATCAGGCGCCGAATAAGGACGTCGTTTGCGGAAGATATGCCCTATGCGTGAGCAAGGATATATTTTTATGGCGCCATGGCATTGCCAGACACGGAAGGAAATTTCGATATTCTCACCACCCCAGATATCCATTCCCTCATCATACGCGCCGATGTGTTTAAAGTATTGTCGGTTAATTGCAAATAAACCACCGGCCATTGTAGGGGTTTTGAATGGACCTTTAAAATCTTCATCCTTCTTTAAAGTGCCCTTCGGCAAAGTTATCCATTTATAATGTAGTCCCCAATTGAAGCCACCACGTACTAACGGACTGGAGGTATATTCAAAAGTATCGGGACTAATAAGATCCATAACCGGCACGGCGATAGTTGAATTTTCCTGCTTCACAGCACGCACAAGTGGTTCTGCCCACTGTTGATTCACTTCAATGTGGGAGTCTAGGAAGACGAGAACATCGCCCTCTGCAGCGTGAGCGCCTGCAACACGAGATCTTATAAGTCCCTCACGTTTCTCATTACGTATATAATGCAGTCGGTCATAGTGAAGTTGTGCATGTAAATCACTTAATAAGTGAAATTCCAATTCGGGTAGATCGCTAAAATCATCTACAAGAATAATTTCTTTTAGTACATGTTTGGGCGTGCGTTTTATGACGGAGTTTATGGAGCGTATCAGCGTCATTTTGTGTTCGTTATAAAAACACATAATAACTGAAATTGTCGGCAAATCTTCATTGGGATTGGTGGATTCACGAGAGCAGACTTTATGCCGTGTGTCAGGTACCTCGCGATAGGGTCCAATATTGTTTGAAATTAGTGCGTTGAAAGCATGATTTTTAAAGCCGATATCACGTATGTATTTATCCTTCTTATCGCGTAGTACTCCCAACATTTTTAAGGGATCTGTGTCTTCTTGCTTTACGCCTTCCTTCAGTTCTCCCTTACAACAATCTTCCACGCGAGTTTTAAATAAAAATTGAGGGTTTGGTGTGTGTGTCTCATTTGAACTAGGTATCTTCCATCCTCCTTCAATAATTGAATTGTGTTGGTAGTACATGTAGTATGTAAACGCTAGAGACGCAGCCAATGTGAAGAATATTGTGCTCGAGGTAAACCGCCGGAGGTGACATCTTCTTAACATCATTTTGAACCCGTTTCGATACGATGGCAAACGTGGAATATTTCTTGTTTCAGCTTGAGTTGTTTCGAGGTCACTGCTTACTCAATATGAGTAATAGAAGAAGTTATTAATTTATGCAAAATTGAGAACCTTCAACATTTTCTTGTGCATAGACCACTCTTTTTTGTTTATTAATTAAATGCAATTTATACAATTCCCAATAACACTAAATGATATCATTGTAGATGGGCGATGTTTAGACAAATTGAAGAGAAGTTTTTATAAATCTATTATTATTGGTAATAAGAAAATAGGTCAAAAAATACAATTGCATATTAGATTTCCTTTTTTGATGACAAAGCTAATATAATATATAAATGAAAACTTAAAAACGTTACTGAAAATCTCCTTTACAGCCTCATTGTGACTTTCATTTTGCGCTTAGAGAAAAAGAAGCATTTGCAGAAGGCGCGAGTATTGCAAAATAATAATTTTAAACATCACAAAAATATTGTAAAAATGGAAGTTATAAATGCTAATAGACAGGAACCACAGTTAAACCTTGGTAAGTAAATTAAGAAACAAATTATGTTATGATTTAATATTTATTTTGCAGATATTAATGGGCAACGTAACTTTATCAAGTACTATGCAAAATTGGAGGAAGTAAGTTCTTCAAAAAATATACATATGTGTATATATTTAATAATTTAATTAAAAATAAAACTTCATAGAAACCAGCAACCACTGTACGCTTTTTCGACCGCATTGACTTTTATTCTGTGCACGGCACAGACGACTGCGAACTCATTGCAAAGCTTGTCTATAAATCGACCGCTTTTGTGCATCATCTTTTGCCTGATGAACCCGACAGACTCAGTTATGTTACGCTATCAAAGGCCAACTTTAATATGGCTGTGCGAGAGTTATTGCTAGTGCGCAATTTCCGCGTAGAAGTTTATGTACGACCACCAGGAGCTGCAGCTGTCAGCAATAATTGGAGTCTTGAATACCGTGGTTCGCCTGGAAATTTGCTACAATTCGAAGAAATTTTGTTCGGCAATAAAGAGATACTTGTAAGCAATAATTTGTTGTCATTGCAAGTGCGCTTAGTTGAGGGTAATCAACGGCGCTTAGGTGTTGCTTTTGTGGAACAGAACGATTGTCAGTTTCATGTATTGGAGTTTGTTGACAATGATTTCTTCACCGAACTGGAAGCAATGGTTGTGCTGTTGGGGCCAAAGGAATGTTTGTTGCCTTCAGGTGATGGCGAGGTAATATTTTATTATGCATTACTTGTATTAGCACCACATTTCTAATTAATTTTTTTTGCGATTTGTAGTATGTAGCCGTCAAACAACTGTTAGAGCGCAATAATGTTGGCGTTACTGTGCCAAAGCGCTCTGCTTCTACACCAGCTGAGAAAAACGACTTGCTGCAAGACTTGAATCGGTTGATACGTTTTGCGAAAGGACAACAAGAAGATGCATTAGCGTTGCCGGAAATGCAACTAACTATGGCTATGGAAGCATTGCGTGTGGCTATTAAATATTTAAATCTCGTTAATGACGCAAGTAATTTAGGGCATTACCAAATGATGCAGCTAAATCTTAAACGGTAAGCAAATAAATTAAACACTACCAATCCTTGTTCTTTATCTACCCATATCTTACAGTTTTGTACACTTGGATTCGGCAGCAGTAGCAGCGCTTAATATTTTACCCAAACCCGGTACGCATCCCAACTCCCCAGGCTATCACTGGCAGAGCATTTTGGGTGTGCTAGATCATTGTCGCACTCCACAAGGACATCGTCTACTGGCTCAGTGGATAAAACAACCACTCCGTAGTATTGAAATTCTCAACGATCGCCATGACATTGTACAGTGCTTGCTGGAATCACCAGGCACACTAAGTTCCCTTCATGATGACTATTTAAAACGCATACCTGATGTGTTAATGCTAACCAAGCGTCTTCTACGTCAAAAAGCCACCATGCAGGATCTCTTTCGTGTTTATCAAGTTATTTTGCGTACGCCACGTATTGTAAACAAGCTACTAAGTCTCGAAAATGCTACTGTGAAGAATGTGCTATGTGTTGCAATGAAATCTCTCTTAGAAGATCTGTCCGGTTTGAAGCAATTAGTTGAGCAAGTGGTGGACTTTGAAGCTATCGAGGCAGGAGATTACCTCGTGAAAGCATCCTTTGATGAGCAACTGCAGGACATGAAAAATGATATGTCACGTATATTAGCTAAAATGGAACGCTTGCAACAAAAAGCCGCAGATGATTTGAATATGGAAAAACCGCAAGTGCGTCTGGATAATGTTGCGAAAATTGGTTACCACTTTCGTGTCACTTTGAAAGATGATTCTGAGTTGCGTAAAAATAAGAATTATAAAATTTTGGATGTCGTTAAGGGTGGTGTGCGTTTTACCAATGAAAAACTGTCCGAGTATAGTGAAGAATATGGAAACTTGTGTGAGAAATATGAAGAGCAGCAAAAATCTGTTGTGGAAGAGATTATAAAAGTGGCTGTTGGCTACGCAGCGCCACTTAGCTCACTGAATGGCGAATTGGCACAACTGGATTGTCTGGTCAGCTTTGCAATGGCTGCATTGAGAGCGCCAACACCATATGTGCGCCCGAAAATGTTAAAAGAAGAAGCTGGTGTGCTGGCGTTGAAAGACTTGCGACATCCTTGTTTGGAATTGCAGGAACATGTCACATTCATAGCCAATCATGTGACATTCGAAAAAGGTGAGCGCGAGTGAAAATATTATGTGTATATTTATATTAAATATTCGCGAATTTTTAGATGTCTGCAATATGTTCATCATCACGGGTCCTAATATGGGCGGCAAAAGTACATATATACGTTCTGTGGGCACCGCTGTGTTAATGGCGCACGTTGGTGCTTTTGTGCCATGCAACGAGGCGACAATAACTATGGTTGACTCAATATTGGGACGTGTAGGTGCCAGTGACAATATCGTCAAAGGCTTGAGCACGTTCATGGTTGAGATGATTGAGACTTCGGGCATTGTGCGAGTAAGTGAAAGTCAATTTTTCAATTATGTGTTCGACACATATTTTATAATTCATATTATTTTTTCAGACTGCTACCGAGAATTCGTTGGTGATTATAGATGAACTTGGCCGAGGCACATCCACATATGAGGGCTGCGGTATAGCTTGGTCCATAGCTGAGTATGTGCGAAATTATTACATCTTACTGGTTTTATTTGAATTTTCTCTATATCTTTGTAGACATTTAGCAAAACAAACTAAATGCTTCACCCTCTTCGCCACACATTTTCATGAGATTACCCACCTAGCTGAGTCTGTGAAGACCGTTAAAAATTGCCATATGGCCGCCGTTGCAGACGCTGAAAATTTTACGCTTTTATATCAAGTTCGTCCTGGAGTTATGGAGAAAAGTTTTGGCATACAGGTGGCACGTTTGGCCAATTTTCCTGAAGCTGTTGTACATACGGCTCAACGTATTTATAGCGAGTTCGAAGATGAATATACCGAAAAGCAAAGTCAAAGTGATAAGGAACTGTTGGATAAAATTGATGCAGCTGTAGAGCGGCTAACAACAACGGGTAATGACGTTGACATCGATGAGGCGGAGTTAAGTGCATTGGTTGAAAATTTCGCGAGGGATATTAAACAACTAGATAGCGAGTATTTCCGTGCTGTGCTATCGGTTGAAGGAAACTAATAAGTGACATATTTTTAAATTACATTGATACAATATTCTTAATTTAATGAGTTTTAATAAAAATGTTGCTCATTCTTTGTTAAGATGTTGCACTTCTTTTTAATAATTTTAGATATACATAAATAACATACTCTTTTTTAATGCCTGAATTATTAAAAGATTTATATAATAATAATTATTTAGTAGTTTTTATAATAATAGTTTAAAAATAATACAGTATTTAGGAAAACCGGTTACTTATAAAACGGTTAACTGTTATAATTGATACAGCTGATTTGATTTATTGTGAAGCGTTACTAAAAGGGGAAGTAGAATTAATTCCATTCTTGGTTTTTCGAAATGAAAACATAATTTATCACAAAATAAATGAACAATATACGAAATTTTGTTTTAATTATTGATAGAACGCTGTAAAAATTGCCAAGTGACATGTGTGTATAGTAGAGTTTAAATATTGAATAGTGACAACCTAACTAAATTGCAATTTTTCAGAAGTTTGCAACAAAAAAGCTAGAGAAAATGTCCTTGTTGCGACAATGTGGCGCCACTTTAAGGCGTCAGAATGCAGTACAGCAGATGCTATTGAAATCCATAATTAATAGTGGGGTTCAGCGAAACTTTAACCAGCTGTTACTCCAGCCAGCTCCAACAATAACAAATAACGCGGGGGCAGTGCGGGGCTATAAAAAATTTGGACACAAAGAGGAACCCACACCGCGGTTAACGAGATATTTTCATGTATTCGTTGGGACTTTGTTTTTCTTAAGTATATTGGACTGGAAGAAGTATGTGAACGTATACATATATTAAGACAATTAGAAATAATTATTTTTTATATATATTTAATATTAATTTATGTTCAGATTCAAGCGCGCTATAATGCCGAAAGTTGATGCCGACGCACCAAAACCTAAAGATATTCCGCAGAAAAATAAAGTAAAGAATAACGATGATACCGATGCGGAAGAAGCGGATAGTAAAAGCGAACCTAGTATTTGCAAGGAAAGGCGTGATCCCAAGGAAAAAATGGGTTTTCGCGAACGCAAGGTATGATTATTGTGTAAAGGTAGAGCAAAGTTTTTTTTTTGGCTTTATCTTCAATTTATTATATGTATGTATATATATTTTAGGACGCAGTGTTATTTCTATTGAACAGTTCTACTTTTTTTTTACTTTATGTATATATATATTTTCTTTTAGTTTTTTACAGTTTTCTTTTTTAATTTCATGTTACCTGTGTTTAAATTACTATGTACATTTTTGCAATGCACAATATGCACAACCCATGTATATGCATACATTTTGTTCATATGCACTGTATTCACATATAAAACTGAATGGAACGTGCAATTACGCGTGCACTGATTGAAGATTATTGAGTATGAAAATCGTATACGCGCCTATTCTACACCGGACAAAATCTTTCGCTATTTCGCCACAGTACGTCTGACCACAGCTACAAGTACCGAAGTCTGCATGACGCCTGATGATTTTCTACGTTCAATTTATCCCGGCATGATGCAGCCTGAGGGTATGTTTCATTCGACCATATAATTAAGGCAAACGTACAAAAAATTGTCTACGGTTAAATATACAAAAACGTCCGTTTAAGTTTTAAAAATAAATGTATATATTATTTACATAATATTTTGTTTTTAAATTCTGT